TTTTGTTTTGTTCCATTTTTTGATCGAATTTTCCTTTCTTTTATGTTTTCTATCTTCAGATATTTGGGGGTCCATATTTCCTCATCTCCCTAGTGTCTAAAGTTTAAAGAAAGCCAGGCGCAGGAGGGAAGACTGAAGAGGCAGGGGTCCGGAGTCTAGAGACCGGGAGGCAGCGGTGAGCAGCGCGTCGCCGGTAGCAGCCGGAGAATGCAGGCTGCTCGGGCTCGCCAGCCTGCCGCGCTGCGCCAGGCTTGCGGTCCACCGCCTCACCCAGGTCGCCTGGTGCAGGTTGCCCAGGCGGGCTGAGGGCTCATGGGGCACCCTGTGCAGCCAGCCGGAGCCAGCTCTCGTCCCTCCGACCTCTTAAACCTTAGCAGCTGCCGAGAACACCGCGAAGCCAGGGTGTTTGCTTGCCTGGCCAAGAGAAGGGCGCTGGGTCTCCAACCCAACTCCAGCTCGGGCTTCCAACCTCGGACCCCATATGGTCACCGGATGCCAGACCCGAGGGCGCTTCCCGGTGCCCCGTTCTCCCTAGCCTAAAGCGGTACAGAAATCCTGCACCCAGAACGATCAATCCACAGCTGCAGTTTCTGAGCAATCCAAGCACAGAGACTTGTAGCGGCCGAATTGGGCCGGACCGGGCCGGCAACCTGCAGCCCCTGCCCTACGAGCCCTAGGCGACTTTCGGGGAAAGCGGGGACATCGGCGTCCTGCTCAATTCTTTTCTGTCCGTCCCCTTCTAGGGAACAGAGAGCAAAGGCAGACGAATCTCCTCTAATCTGGAGGCTGCGGGAGGCCGGAACCTCTTATTTTACCCCCATCTCCGTTAGTCTCCCTACTTGTAGCCCCACTTCTTACCCCTCCCTGCCCTCCAAACCCCAACCATCAATAATTTAGGCCCCGGGAGAACTCGCGTTACCGGTATGAAAAGGCGGCAGCTGCCGGCAGATTAAAGATGAATAATTCAGCCTCCTCGGGCTCCAGGCCCGGCCCCTCGAACCCAATCTAAGGGGTGAGGATGGAAGGCGGCATGGTGGGAGTCCAGGGCCGGGGGCCGGAGCGGGCGCTGAGTCGGGCCTGGAATGCGCCACTGCCGCCGGCGCCGATTCTGGCTGCGGTTGCTTGCGGACTAACCCGCCAGTCCGCCTCCCGCGCCGCGGTCTCTCCCTCTAACCACCTTCAGCTTGCCTTGCTGCCCTGAAGGTTTCAAAGTGGCATCCAGTGGACGGTCGGGATTCGGCGAGTCCCCCGCGGAATCGGCCAGAGAGAAGAGAGAGAGCAGAGGCAGCGGAGCTGCGAGGCCGGCGGGCTGAGCGAAGACGGCGTTTGGACCTGGTTCCACTCTCTCCGAAAAGGAGCTTGGATTTCTGCCTCTGCTCGCAGAGACTCGCGGCACCCCGAGGCCCCTGGCTCGGATTTCCTGTGCTTAGATATTATTCAGGAAAATATATTTTATCCCAAGAATATTTTTTAAAGTTCTCACTGTAACGCTAAATATATGCTTAGAGAAAAACTCAGCTCTCCCTCCTCGGCTCTCTTGTCCGAAGCACAGATCCAAGTCAGCTCTAAAAAGTTTCCCTGTGAAAAGTTACAAATCATCCTTAATTATTAATCTACAGAGGAGGAGATTTTTTTTTAATCTGGAATCTGTTTTTCTTTTAAAAAGCCTGAAAAAAATGGTTTTCCAAGCTAAAGACATATGACATAAATTAGATAAATTCAAAATTTCATTAAAATATTTCTCTTTTCTTATTTTTTCATTTCTTTTATCCCCACCTCTTTTTTTTGTCACATCCTTTCTGTTTTATTTCTTTTATTTCCTTCCCCTTGTTTTGATTTCTCTCCCCTTTCTCCCCAGCTTTGGCATTTGCCTCCCTTTTGTTCTCTCCCCCAATCCCTGCAATTTCCCCCTCTTTGCCTACCCCCTGGCCAGGTCTCTGGCTGAACTATCCTTATCAGGGGTTGGGAGGTGGGCAAGGAGCCTCCATAACTAGAAGCAGAGCCTTGCTCTGCCCAGGGGCCACCTGGAAGTCTCCTCTACTCCATCTCTCTCTGACTTCGATTTCTCCTTGGAACCCTTCTTTGTTTTTAGAGCATCTCCTGGGGAGAGGTGGGAAAAGATGACCACCACATCCTGCCAATCTCAGACGCCCAACTCAAGGAGCAGAGAAGGGAAAGGAGAGGAAAGGGAGATGAGAAAGAAAAGAAGAGAGAGAAAGTATTTCAAACCAGCCCACAAGGAGCCTTGGCTGGGCTGCAGGGCACCAAGATGCTGGGAGCTGAGGGTCAGAAGGGGGCACCCCACCCCCACCCTCTTCTGCCTGATTGTCCTGACACTGAAGGTGCTCACGCTCAGAATTTCCTCCTGGACAATCACCCTCTAAGTTCGAGAAAGGTAGCACTGAGGGGAGGGAGGAGGAGGCAAACAGAGGTGGGGGGAGAGAGAGAAAACAGAAAACACAGAACCCTGAAAACTGCCTGCCCATTAGTTCCCAAGCCCAGGGCAAGAGGGTGACTAGGGAGCGGGGTGACTGGAAACTGGGTAGGGGAAGTAGGGGGCTGTGGATCTCCGACTTAAGAAGAAGGTGGAAGGAAGGAAGGCAGGTGATGGGCACCAGAGAAGGTAGGAAGGCAGGTAGAAGGAGAAGTATGGGTGACAGAAAGCAGAAGGGAGAGAAACTGTAGGCTTTATAAACACTGGGAAGTGAGGGAAAGAAGAACGAAAGGGGGGAACGGGAGAAGCCAGCGTGGCCTCCAAGGTGGGACTTGAGCACAGGGGCCAGGGCCGCGCCAGGACGGGACAGTGTTGGGATCCGGAGCCGCGAGCTGGGACAGGAGCCGGGCGCCGGTACTCACGGTGCATCGCGGAGAAGGGGTCTGCTTTGCAGTGCATATCCATGGGGAGGCAGAGGAGCGGGAGCAGCGCGGCCGCCGCCGCCGTGTCGCCTCTCAAACTCAACTTCAGGACTTGAGGAGAAAAGGGAGGGACGGTGGGGGGGGGGG